GGGGGAGCGAGAGAGAGAGAGAGAGAGAGAGAGAGAGTGAGAGAGAGAGAGAGAGAGAGAGAGAGAGAGAGAGAGAGAGAGAAGAGAATGGAGGGGGAGGGGGAGGAGGAGAGCGGCGCAAGCGCGCCAGCCGGTCCGGTCGATCGCGACCATGACGGCGCCGCGGTAGCCGAGGCAGGGGTGGAAGGTCCTCCCGCCGTCGGTCGACTCGTACAGCGCGCGGTTGGACGCCTACTTAGTTAATTCATTCGTACTCAGGAATTACTTCGGTCGACTCGTACAGCGCGCGGTTGGACGCGTTGTTGACGAGGAGGTGGTCCGCGTCGTTTGGGTCCATCGCCATCGACTACAGAAGCATGCAGCGAGAGTCGGGAGCCTCGCGAGGGTTGGCACGGCTACTAGTACTAAGCACCGCGGCCAAGGACTGGCTGCTGTCGAGTGCTAGCAGTAGCAGTGATGCCAGATCGTCAGGTCTTGCTACTAAGCACCGCGGCCAGGACGATTGGTGTCGAGTGCTAGCAGTAGCAGTGATGCCAGATCGTCAGGTCTTGCTACTAAGCACCGCGGCCAGGACGATTGGTGTCGAGTGCTAGCAGTAGCAGTGATGCCAGATCGTCAGGTCTTGCTACTACCGGAGTACCGCGGCCAGGACGATTGGTGTCGAGTGCTAGCAGTAGCAGTGATGCCAGATCGTCAGGTCTTGCTACTACCGGAGTACCGCGGCCAGGACTGGCTGGTGTCGAGCGCTAGCAGTGATGCGGGATCGTCAGGTCTTTAGCGGCGCGGGCCTGGCACGGCTGGTCGGGCTGCACCTCCCACGCGGCCGCCGTCGCGTTGAGGACTGTCGCGACGTGCAGCACGCCACGCCCGCCCACCTGATCACAGCATTCCGTGCCGCAGTGGTGGTGGTGGTGGTGAGGGGTGGAGAGGGTGGAGAGGGATGGAGAGGGTGGAGAGGGTGGAGAGGGCGGGGAGGGCGGAGGGGGGGGCGAGGGACGCAAGAGCGGATGCATTGGTACAGCTCTGCTTCGCTCGGAGGCGGAGTGACTCTATCAGTGTGGGGCGTCTCCTCTGAAAGAGCAGACCGCGCGTGAAGGAGACCGCTCTCACTGCCACTCTCTGCGTGTCCGCTCTCTCAGTGTCCGGCGGCGCTCACCCAAAGGCAGCCGCCCACGACCGAGGAGGAGAGGAGCTGCCCGGCGCGGTAGTCGGAGATGCTCACTCGGTTCGTCCGCCAGGCGCTCGAGCCTGCTGGCGAGCGGATCAGTCGCCACGCCTGCATGCGCGGCGGACTCAATGCTCAAACTCTGAAGGGATCGCACCATGGTTGCGTGCTGATCATTGGAACCTCGCGGGCGAGCGGCGTCTCCACGAGCGGCACGTTGCCCAGCCCGGCGTTGGTTCCCACGAAGAGGTGCGGGGCGCCGCCGATGCTGCCGTTCCGGAAGCTGTTGGCCACGCCCCAGCCGCGAGTCTGCGCGATGTGAGTCCAGCTGCCGCCGCTGTCGAGCGTTTCGTACACGCCCGAGGGAGTGCCCGCCACGACGTGCTCGCCGTGCTGGTCGACAATGTAGAGGCCGTGGATGCGCGTGTCTGCGAGCCCACGGTTCACCTTGACCCAGTGCCGGCCAAAGTCAATCGACTTGAGGACACCAGAGCTGGCAGCGTTGTTGTTTCCGCCCGTGTAGATGACATCGGGGTTGGCCGCCGCCGCGACCACCGGCTGCACCGTGCCAGCCTCCCCGCCGTCTGGAGTGATGGAGTCGCCGATGTTGCTGGGACCCACGGTCGTCCATGGCGTGTGCGAGGCGGGCGGAAGAGGAGCCGAAGGCGAGGCGCCGGTCCGGCGGTCAGAGTAGCTTGAGGCGCCGTCGAGCGAGAGTAGAGCCGTCAGGATGCGGAGGGTGTGCGCAGAGGCTCGCATCGAGCGACAGATATCTATGTAGCATGGGCTGGCGCAATGACGGCAGCGATTTCTTTTTTGCGGTGGTTTCTTTCTCGTGTTTTTACCCATACCGCGTTGGTGTCCAGTCCGAGCCAGACTGTTCTTCACCTTTCTACATACATACATCTTTTTACTTGGGCTGAGTGGACCTCCGTGTGTGTGTGTGTGTGTGTGTGTGTGTGTGTGTGTGTGTGTGTGTGTGTGTGTGTGTGTGTGTGTGTGTGTGTGTGTGTGTGTGTGTGTGTGTGTGTGTGTGTGTGTGTGTGTGTGTGTGTGTGTGTGTGTGTGTGTGAGTGTGTGTGTGTGTGGGGGGCAGCACCATTTGTTACTGACGTGCGTGCGAGCTCTTTGGACGAAGACAGTACACATTATGAAAGATAGTACAGATTACGTAGGCAGCATAGGTGCACTAGAGGAGCGGTGCAATGCGCATCAGCATCCTCTCCACCTTTTTTCTCAAACATTGCAAACCCACCTCTGTCCTTCCTTCCTTCCTCTGATCCTTACACCAATCCCAACAAATCTAACACTCACACATATCCACCTCGAGAACCTCGAGAACCTCTGATCCTCTCTCTCTCCTCTCCCCCCCTCTCCACCTGCCTGCGCACCCTTCCTTGCGCGCCCTTACTTGCGCGCCCTTCCTTGCGCGCGACCACTCTACATGCATCACGAGGTTTCGCCGACGGGTCCAGCACATCTCGTCCCGTCCGGAACGACGCATCCAACACCGTCTTGACGCCGTCCTTGTAAGGGTGCCGAGATTGCATCCCTCGGCTTCTCGCGTGCCATCCGACCAACTCCTTTTCCAGCCGCTCTGTGCTCTGCTTTTCGTGGTGGCTCCGTTCGCGTGTTCCGTCACTCTGCGAGTTTGCGTTGGCGCCATGGGTGGCACCTGCAGCCGCGTCGACGAGCAGCCTCGTGCTCCGCCCGTCTCGCCCAAGCCAATCTACCGCGGTGGCCTCTCCGTCGACATCCCTTGCGAGACGGCGGTGGCGGGCTCTCCGGCCCTCTCGCAGGGCAGCATACCGAGCTCGTCGAGCCCGACGAGTCATCCGTCCATGTACCAGCGACGAGTCTTTCCCGCCGAACTGCGGGAGGAGTGGCTCGAGGTGCTCAGTGTGGACGACTGCAGCCGGCGAAGCGCTCGCGCCTCGAGGCTGCTCGCAGCGAGACCCGAGGTGGTGCGCGGTTCGCCGTGGTGGTGGACCGACGACACCGGCTCGCTGCTGCACGTCGCGGCCGAGCGCGGCGACGCGTCCCTCCTCCGCGTCATCCTCGACGCCGGCGCTCCGGACCTCCCGCTCGCGCTTGACGCCGACGGCCAGGCGGCTCTGCACGTCGCGGTAGCGAACGGGCACCTCGACGCGGCGCGGGTGCTGGTGGAGGTGGCCGCGGCGCAGAGCGGCGGCTGCACCGCGCTCACCCTCCCCGACAAGTACCGCATGACGCCCTTCCACCTCGCGTGCGAGAATGGGGACGTTGCGATGGCCGGCGTCCTTAGAAGGCGGAAGTCGTGTTCGTGTATCCCAACATGCGCTCGAGAGAACACGCACTCAGCTCGACCGTAGTCCGCTGCACTCCGCTGTATTCGTAGCCCCTCGTATCCATGCGGTGCTCTGAGCACACTGCACAATACCGCATCCCCGCCCCGATGTTGGCGTAATCCGCATAGGCCTCCTTCCTGCTCGAGCAGCTCGCCTTGCTGCCTGGTCTCTCGACGCAGGCACCGCACGCACGCACGCCACGCGAGAGCGTAGCAAAGCCAACGAGGTTCTCACTCGTGGACAGCACAGTTGCCACCCTTGAGACATGGCACCGAGGCCCGCTTTCTCTGTCTCGGGACGCAAGACACGGGCGCAGGCCTGTTTTCTGCCAGGGGCGGCACTTCCCATCGCCCCCCCCCCCCCCCGCAGGAGGTGGCCGAACTGCGGCGCGGCTCGGCCAACTTTCTGGCGCAGCGCGGGCAGCACGCAAGGGTGGTCGCGCTGCTCGATTCGGTGCGTTCGCGCTTGTCCGAGGTTTCTTTCCTACCGCGCCGCGAGATGTCTTACTGCCGAGCTTTCTTTTTTACGGCGGCGTGTTTTCTTTCTTAGGTGTCCTTCCTCACGCAGCGCTCTCGCGACTCTTGGGTCTCGGCCATCTCGCCGCCGAGGACCCCTGGCGGCGACTCGCTCAACTCGTCGATGGGCGGCTCGTTTCACTCGCGGTGGGTGGAGGGGCCGCAGGGAGGCGGCGAGGCGGAGGCGGCGAAGCGGGGGCCCCCCGCGCTCTCCCCCCGCGAGCGGTCGCACTCCCCTTCGCGCCGCTCCGCCTCTCCGCCCCGCGCGGCTCGCTCTCCCCCGCCCGCGAGGGCGGCCGGCGGCCTCTCGGCCGGCGACGGCCTCGGGAGCGGCGGCAGCGCGGCCTTCTCGCTGCTGCGGAGCAACTCGAGCTTTGGCGCAGACTCGCCGAGACACGCCGGGATTGGCCGAGACTGGCAGCCCCTAGAGAGGGGGTTCTTACGTGCTCCGCCGCACATCGACACACCCGTCGTTTCCAGATATGGGGAGATATGGGGAGATATGGGGAGATATGGGGAGACACGTCTGCGAGCGCGTTGGTCCATCTCCCCGCCCTGCTTCTCGGAGCCTTCTCGGAGCCTTCTCGGAGCCGTCCCCGTAGGCGCCCTCACCAAGGGCTCCTCCCTGCCGACCATCGTCTCTGGCCGCAACTCCTCGCAGCGCCCCCGCTCCGACGCCTCCGACGGCGACCACAACTCCGCCTCCCCCTCGCCCGTCCCCGCCGCAGCTTGCCTCAGCCTGTCCCTCGACGGGACGGCGCCGCCGCTCCTGCCGGCCTTGCCGCCGACGGCCGAGGCGCTGAGTCGACTCGAGGAGGAGACCACCCGCCCCGCGCGGCGGCTCGCGTTTCGCTAGCGCGGCGATGGCGCATGCACTACATGGCGAGGAGGGGTAAGGTACTTAGAGGCGGAGGGGGCTCAGTCTAAGACACCATATGTGCGCCGAAAAGGGGGAGTGTCTCGCGGAAAAATATCGAGTGTCCCCGTTACAACTTTGACGTTTGGTAACCCCCGCGCATACAAGAAACACCTAATCACCCTAAAAGGTGGCCGTAATACGGCGCTATCTCGGCGCGAAAAAGCAAAAACAAAAAGACTGTCTACTGAGCTCTCTCACTCTCTCTCTCTCTCTCAATCGACATCATCTCAAGGGTGCGGCCGGATGGTGCGTATGGACTCAAGCCAGCGTAGTGCCTCGACGGCCACTTCGGGGCCTAGCTCGTCGTCGAAAAGGATGCCTGGAGATATGAACAGTGGCGGTGAGGACAAGGTGAGGGCGGTGGCGCTGCGGCGGCACCGGAATGAGACGGCGGTGGCGGTGAGCGGGTAGGAGAGGCGAGGCCGGGACGGTGGTGCGATGGCGCACCAAACTTGTGCGGGCCGGGCTCGTTGCACGACACCCCCTCCTCCCGCGTGTCGACCGGCACCAGCCGCGTGTTTGGCGCCGTGGCGACCTTCACGATGTCCTCGAGCGCAGAGTAGGGCACGAGCGGGTCGTCGCTCGCGCCAACGACGAGCAGCGGGTGCGAGAGGCCCATCGTGAATGACCTGCCTGTCTGCAGCTCAAACTTTCGCCTCGCCAGGTCGCGCACGACGCGGTCGGTCGTGAGGTCGTAGAGCATCCGAGAGGTTGCGAGCGGCCAGTGGCCGGCGTAGTTGCGCGTGGAGTTGGGAGGGTGCGCATAGTGCGTCGGGTCCTCGAGCGGCGTCGAGTTGGACGCTAGGCCCGGCGTCATGTGCGACACCATCCTCAGAGCGCCGACGACCGGCGTGGAGGGCAGCGCGCTGTCGTTGCAGCCGACGGCGGGCGACACGAGGGCAACGCCGAGCAGCCCTGGGCCGGGCGCAAAGTGCTCTGCGACATAAAGTGCGACGGCGCCGCCAAAAGAATGACCGGAGAGCGCGAAGCAGCTCATTCCTTCGCTCTGCTCCCACTTCACGTGCTCAACGGCCTGCGCCACGACGCGCGAGAAGCTGCCGAGCACCGCCCGCTGGCCGCTGCTGAGCCCGTGGCCTTCAAACTCGAGGACGAGGCAACGCCAGCCGGCCTGACACGCGGCGTGCGCCACCCGCTGCACCGCCACGGTCTCTGCGCTTTCGCAAATCCCGTGATAGTGGATCAGCGTCGCCACTCCTAGTCCGGATGGCGGCACAAACTCCTCCACATTCAGCTCGATGCCTCCCGCCGTGATGAAGGTTGAGCTCGTGGAAGAGATGGTCTCGATCCGGTCCCTTCCGGGGCTTCTCACCGACCGCGAGAATTGTGCAGGATTCCTCGGCGCGGGGCCGGGGCTGAAGGGGCCCAGGTGCTCGAAGCCGTGGGAAAGGCCCTCCACGCTGTCGCGGACGCCGTGTGAGATACCCTCCACGCTGCTGGAGATGCCGTCGCGCACCGCCGTCGCCGACCTCTTCGCCTCGTCCGCCGCCTTACGCACAGCCTCGAACACTCTCGGCGACGTGTCTCTCGATGAGTGGCGCTTCATCCACGCCGACATGGGCCGTCGCCGCCCGAGAGGCGGAGCGCGCCGCTCGCCTCGCCGAAGTTCGGCCGTCCCCTCGTTCAACCGACACGTCGGGCCGGCGTGCGTGCAAGTTGTGCGATGATCTCAGCTGGCCCACGCGTTCGGCGCAGCCTCTGGGGCGTTGTCTTGGGCACGATGCTGCTCGCATACCTTCTCTACGTGGTTGCGCCGCCGCAAAGCCGTGACGCTGCCAAGGCAGAGTGCATTGCAGAACAGGGAATGTGCCCGCCGGGAATGGCGCCGGGTGGCGGGAACCCGCAATGCTGTGATGAGTTGACTTGTCAGGATACGCACAACCCACATACGACGGTTTGGACATGCCAGGCTGCGGTGGTAACAAAGGGTGCGTGTGTGGACCTCTCGGAGAGCTGCAACAGTCTCATCGCGGCGGCTCCCGGATCGTGCCGCGGCTCGCCCCAGATGAAGCAGAACTGCAAGCAAGCCTGCGGCTTGTGCGACGAGGACGAGACGTTTATGAAGGGCCCGTCTTGCTCGACCGATGGTTGGTCGCTCTGGGGAGGGTGGGGCGGTTTGGGCAAGATGCTAAAGAGTGCATCCGCACTCTTCCTGCCGGAAGTACACTCAGCCCTTACACGAGGGACGTGGTCGTGCACGCTCAAGAGTGGCGAGGAGCATTGGTGCGAGATCAACAGTTGTTGCAGCCACCCAACATGCGACGATTGGTGCGGCTGCTCGCCCCACTTTTGCAACAGTGAATGCTAAGAGAAGATGAAAAGAGCCTTTCTACCTCAGTCTCTCGAGGTCGAACCAACTGTCTCCTCCTGGGCTCAGGGCTCTTACCTCATTGAGTAGGGCGGATTGTTTACCCGTTAGCGAGGGGGGTCCCACTGCCCCCCCCCCCCCCCCCTCTCCGCGTACCTTAAGGTACTAAAATTTGGAATAGTTTAAGACGAGTTACTAGAAATAAACTTTTTTATTTAGTTAGAGAGGCGCGGAGGGGTGCAGGTGGCGAGCAGCTGAAAAGCTCCGGTCCGAGCCGCTACACACGACCTGCTAACACGACTGGTGGTAGCTCCTGTTCGTACACCCGCGCGATGCCCGTATCACACCGTCGAGGGGGCGGGTGGCAGGCACGAGAGACGCTCCCAAAGCGGCCTCATCAGGTCGCGAATGCGGTGCATTTTGATCGGCATGGGCCCGCCTGCGTGGAAGAGAATCGGGCCCTCTTTCGCTTGCCGCCGGCGCGCCGCGTCCTTCGCCAGGCGGACTGCGGCGAGCTTGGACTTGGCCTCCTTCTCGGCGGCGCGCGAGGCGCCAACGCGGACCCCCGACAGGATCGTGCGAGGGCAGAGCCCGTAGGAGAGGACCTCGATGGTGAGGTCCTCCGCGCAGTGGCCAAACACCGAGAATTGCCTCCGGTCCTCCTCCTCCGTCGGCGGCTTCACGCGCTGGCCCGCCTTGAGGCCCAGCATGAGCCGCTTGCTCGCCTCCTTGGGCGTGAGCGGCTCGCCGCTCATCGCGCTCCACCTACAGGCAAATACTACGAAACACAGTGCCTCGGCCCAAGTCTCGGCTCGGAAAACTCTCTCGGCTCGGGGCTAAAGTTTCTCCGCAAGTGTTGACCGGGATTGCCCGCCGAGATCCTGTCCTGGACCTGCCCGACGGCGTTGCCCTGCCTGCGACGCGCGCCTGCAACGCCCTCCGACGCGCTCCCTGCACGCACACTCATGGTGTCGAAATCGCCCGCAGCCGCTCGCACTGGGGCGCTCTCTGAGAAGTCCAGCCCTCGCGTGCTCCAGTTCTGGGCGTCGTGCTGGGTGGTAATCACCAATGTGTACGCCATCGGATGGTCGGTCGGCGGCATCATGTCCGACGGAACGGCCGCAGCGAATGGCTCGAAGATGGCCATCCTTTCTATCGAAATTCTCGGCGCCGCGCAAAATAGTTTTGCCTTTAAAATTCGTAAATAAATTTCTCTCCAGGGCAGCCTACATCAACAGGGTGCAACTGAGAGGCTGCAACTAAGGGATGAAACAGCTTTGCAACTGCTGCCCAAGTTTTGTTGATGGGCTGCAGCTGCATCCTGCCACCTTGGACACCTCGACACCTCAGAGACGCCTCTTGACAACACTCGACACCCGCTCGACACCTCGACACCCTCGACACACCTCGACACACCTCGACACACCTCGACACCTCGACAGGCCTCGACAGGCCTCGACAGGCCTCGACACCTCTACCCCCCTCGACAGCAGCTCGACACCCTCGACAGACGAGACACCGGGCCTCGACACCTCGACACCAGGGCTTCGCAGCCCCCTCCCTCCCCGTCCCGCGGTCCGGCCGTGAGACGCGCATCTACGAATCAAGTTGGTGCCGGGGTGTGGGCTTCAACGTTTTTTCAATCTGACGTATTGTATCCCAACTCTCACGCACACGACAGCCGCTCGACATGTGCGACCAGAGTATTGCCCGCGACTGTTCTTGATCTTCAGCACTTCAGGTCCCTCTCTATACCTCCCTAGAGGGCGCCCTGGCAGTCACTCCGCTCCAGCCCGGGGCACCCGTCTGCGCACGGAGAGCACTCACAGAAGCCACACAGCGCGGCAGTGGCTCTCTCTGCCGGCTGCGGCGCGGCGGCGCTCTCCGGCGGTTGCGGCGCGGCGGCGCGTTCCGCCGGCGGCGGCCCGGCGCGGTCAGCAAGCCGCGGCGGCGCGGCGGCGGCGCGAGGTCGATTGCGTATCCTTCCCGAGGCGGAGAGTTGCTCCCAAGTGAAGTAGCGCACCTGACCGGGAAGGGGAGGGGAAGGTCAGGGAAAGGTCAGGTGAACTTCTCCACACACGCACACAGCGGTGGTGGGGCAAGGGCCAGGCGACCCTCGCGACTCGACGTCTAGACAGACAGGCGCCCCACGGCAGTAAACGTGCACGGCCCAGTGCGCGTGGGTGAGCAACCCTGCCCCTCCCTCCGGACAAACCTGCGAAGACGTAGAGCGCACCGCCCTGGCAATGCGTCTCGGGTGATCTGATCTCGAGCGCTCCTGCTGCATTTCATGCGTCATTCTGGACTCAAGTGTGGCTAATTCTGCGCGTTGCCTCTCATTGATGCGCGCCAGCATCGTGTGCTCGCGCCATCTCCGCCAGAAAGAAGTGGGTCATCTCGGGTCGCCGGGGTCATCTCGGGAGAATATCGGGATAATCTCGCGCGCCGGAGTCGGCTTGTGCGGCCGGTCGAGTATGCCAACCTGGTAGGCCTACGTGAAGGACACACAGTGGGGGCGTTGAAGCGACATCAGAGCGTGCAAACTTCGCATCGCGGGCCATGAGTCTACTGCCATCGACAGATCTGAACACAGCTCAATGCAGCCAGCCGGAATACAGAGATTGGTGATTCGCATCTAGGGCTGCGGACGTGGAGCTCTCGAAAGCCCCTCGCGTCGTGCGTCGAGTTGAAATCGAGACTGCAGTCCGTCCCCATCGCCGAGAGGAGCGCGAGCAGCGTGCTGACCTTCCCGCTACCGACCCAGCCCTCGTGGTGTTGGACGTGCGCCGTCATGTCGTACACCTGTGCAACCCGCGTGGTGCGAGTGTGGTGTGAGTGGAGCGCGCATGCCGTGCCACTAGAATACGCAAACAGCGATGCCTTGTCCGACACCACGATCCACGCATCGTCGCTGTAGCAGTGGCGCGCCACCTCTGCCATGGTGAACACCGGCCACGGCTTGCTCCGCCGCCTGTCGCGCTCGGCGGCCAGCGCCTCGACCTTGCCGACGGCGTCTGTCATTGCCAACCGTGAGGTGGGAAGAGGGCTGGCGACCCAGGCGGCGAGCGGAGCTGTGTCCGAGTGAAAGAATTGCAGCTAGTGGGGGGTTTTTGCCACGCTTCTACACTTGCTTCCACACTTGTGTTCGACACTTCGAAAATCAGCTGATTTTCGAACCGCCCGACGCGCTTTTGCAGCTCTCACCGGTCGTACACTTGCTGCTGACACTCTCTGATGCCGAGCCGCGCATACTTCCTCGGCGAGCTCCTGGAGTCCAAGTTCTTCTTTGGCATGGCAAACATGCTCGACTCCGATTCCGAGAGCGACTTCGACGTGCAGGACGAGCTCGTAGTCACCGGCGTCGAGCCGCTCATGCGCCGGAGGACGCAGGAGATCGGACCCGAGCGGCTGAGCGTGGCGCGACTGCAGCGCGAGGCGGCGGCTCGCGGGCACGCCGGCGACGATGTCTCGAGCGCCACGTACCAGAACTACGGCTTCCACCTTCGCTGGCTGCCAATCGTCATCGCGGCGCTCATGGTGCCGGCTGTGATCCAGACTGTCGGCGGGCACCTCTTCACCGGCGAGGAAGCTGTGCTGCTGCTGCTGCTCCGCTTCCGGAGCGACGACGGCTTCGACAAGATGACGTGGACGACGGGGCGAAACATCTCCGCCCTCTCCGAGGTCACGCTGTACATGGCGCGCCGTTGGATGTGCTCTGTGCTGCTGCACCGTGCACTCGACCGCACCGCTCTCTGCACCCCTTGCGCAGGTAGAGCATGTGCACAACACATTCCCGCACCTCGTCAACCACCGCTCCTTTTCCTCGTGGTCGCCGCACTTCCACCAGTTTGCCCAGGCCTTCACCGACTATGGCCTCCCCATCCAGAACTTGATCGGCTTCATCGACGGCAAGCTCTGGGCGGTGTGCCGGCCGGGCAGGTATCAGAATGTGCTGTACTCCGGCCACAAGCGTATCCACGGCATCAAGACGCAGGGCATCATCTTCCCAAATGGTGTGACCAGCACCTCCTTAGCGGTCAGTTCATCCCCCAAAACACACGTCACGTGGACGACCAGTGCGCGCAGGCATGCAGCCCTACCCCTTCGGCCCGGTGAACGGCAGCCGGCACGACTCCACCGTCCTCTCGCGCTCGCGAATTGTCCAGATCCTGCACGACCTCTGCCGCGGCGGCCCGTTTGCGTGGATGCCAGGTGGCCTCGGCCAGGACTACTGCCTCTTTGGCGACTCCGCCTACCCGATCAGCGCCTTCCTGTGGCGCATGTACAAGGGCGCCATGACCCCGGCCCAGCAGTTCTTCAACAGCACCATGTCCCCCGCGCGCGTCACTGTCGAGTGGGGCTTTGGCAAGATCGTCAACCTCTGGCCCTTCCTCGACTACCGCAAGAAGTCCAAGGCGCGTCGTGCAGACACACGCACACGCGCGCTGTAGACACACTGTGTGCCTCACGCGTGCAGCACTCACCCCGCCTCACACACACGCCTTGCAGGTCTTGCTCTCCCCTGTGGGCCTGTACTTCCCCGTCGCCAACGTGCTGACCAACATGCACACGTGCCTCGCTCGCGGCAACATCGTCAGCTACGAGTTCGGGCTCGCGCCCCCGGAGCTGCACGAGTACATGCGCGGCGGCCCCTACTCGTGCGAGCCGCACGACATCTTTTGATTTTTGCATTCCTTGGTGTTGCGTGTGCATTAGAGCGACACACAACTCTGTTCTTTCCGCACACGGGGGCGGTACACACGCGTGTCGCCAAGTAGAGGGCTTGGGGCTGTGTGGGCTAGTACGGCATGTTTGCGGCGAGGACGAGTGGAGTTGAGCAGCGCTCGAACCTGTGGGGCTGTGTGTGATCTTGGTCATCTATGTTAGCTTGCCAGGCTTGCCCAAACATCGATCACGGGAAGCATACCAGGTATAGACTCAGTCCCATACATTGTGGTCGAGAGAGCAGCGCCCCGGCTTGGATTGCTTGCACGTGTGCTCGGCAAAGGGCGCGATTGCGCGGGAGAGAGTGTGGTCGGTCGTCCGTCGCTCGAGCCACGCGCAGGAGCGACCAGAATGCTCGCTCGGATGGCGAGCCTGCGGCGAGAGGGGCAACAGCGCGGGAGGGTTCCTTGTGACGGGTTGCTCGCAGAGCGGCGCAATCGGCCCCGGTCTGACCCTGGGGACGGATCAGGGCGGCACTCCACACGAGAGCAGGTTCGGCACGCCTCGGGCTGTCGCCGGCCCTCGCTGCGGCGCGCCTCGGGCTGTCGCCGGCCCTCGCTTCACTGCCATGCCTCGGCGGACGGCGCTACCGAATGTGCCTACGCAAGCAAACCATGCAGCGTGCGGGAGGAAGGGGCGCACATGCTGGCGCACCCTGCGCCCAATCACGGCGCCGCGAGGAGCGAGTACGGCGGAGACGGCTGGTCCCGACCGGGCGAGCGCGATTCCACCCAGGCCCGCGACCCACGCGCACGAAGGGACGCAAGTTCTCTCGCGATAGACTTTTAGTAAGATGTGGTTTTTACGTTTTTAGCTATAGCGTTCGTAGATGCGATCGCCGCCAGGAGATCTTGGAGCACTTTGGAGTGCAGTCAGAGAATTTGTCTTTGAGGAAAAAAGATCGCAAGACCGGCCAGGGTCGGGTCGGGGTCAGGGTCGGGGTCCTCACTCAACCTCATCGCGCTCATGTGTATTCCAAGTTTACGTACAACAAGAGTACAGCGAGACGTACGACTACAATCCTCTGACCGCACACAGGGCAGTACACACGCGAGTACAGTAGAGACGTGCACACGGGGCGGTAGACACGCGAGTACAGTAGAGACACACGCGCGGTCGCCACGTGGAGGGCCTTAGGGCTAGTACGCATGTTTGCGGCGTGTTTGCGGCGAAGAGAGTGGAGATGCGTGGTGGTGCGTGAGCAGCGCAGGAACATGTGGGGCTGTGGGAGTGATCTTGGTCGTCATCCCAGGGGGGGGGGGGGGGGGGGGGTGCAGGGCGTCAACGAGGCGGCGAGCCTAGCCCCCTCAATCCCCCTACCCCCGGGGCGTTCGCGAGCCTGCGCTCCCTTGCCGACGTCGGCGTCCGCCTGAGCCTTGCCCTCCTTGTTTGCGCACCCGATCCTTTCCGCCTCCTCCATCGCCGTGCCGACCTCAATGATGAGCTGCGTGCGAGTGAAAGGCGCGGAGTGGGCAAAGGGAGGAAAGGGGAGGGGAGGGAGGGGGGCGGGCGAAAGGAGTGGGAAGGGGGGTGAGGGGAGGCGGTGGCCCATCACCTGGTCCAGCTCGGAGAGCTCCTCGTTCTTGGTGCCCAGGCTGCCTGCCGGCGCGTCCTCGGCCTGCTCGCCGCCCGACTTGTAGAGGTTGGCCTTGCTTTGCACGACTCGCTTCGTGTGGACGATGAAGGCGGTCGTCGCGGGGAAGGTGGTGACGCCAGCGAAGGCCTCGTGCGTTTTGATCTGCGGGATGATGCCCTCGCCGGCCTTGTCCCAGACCGCGCCCTGGTTGTACGTGCGCTCGGGGTCGCCGGAGTAGCCCATCTTGGACGTCAGCCAGGCGAGCGGGCCGGCGGCGGCGACTTGCGTCAAGAGAGCCACGTCGCGCTCGTAGGTCCACTTCATTTGCTTCACCTCCTTCTCGGCCTTGCCGTTGGTGGCGGCCGCAGGGGTGGGCGCGGGTTGCGCCGCGGTCGCGGCCTGAGGAGGGGGCGAGGCGAGGCGGCCGTCAGCAGAGGGGCGTGGGAGGGGTCTGGGGCGAGGACGCCGACGCCACCTGCGCCTCGGGCGTCGTGCTCATGAGTGTGCAACGGTTCTACACTTTCGGCCCCGATCTGTCGGGTCGCCAACGGTCTACACTTTCGACTGGCCCTCCACACTTGCGAAAAAGTGTGGAAGCAAGTGTGGAACCAAGTGTAGATCGCTGCAAAAACCCTCTGAATCTCGGCAGAAACAAACTTCCAGGACCTCATCTCCCGAACCTTCCGTCGAAGACCACCCCGGTTGAGTGCACTTAGAGCCGCTTTTGAAAGAAAGAAAGAGAACGGACAACCCAAGGGAGGGATGGGAGGACGGCACGCCGCCACCACACAGGGATTTTAAGGAGAGGGGTGTGATGCGCTAGCCGTCGCCCACCCTTGGGCGTCCGCCTCTTCCTATCTCTTCGCAGTCTCTCGCCGATTCTCGCTGCGACCTTCATGCCACCTCGCGGTCGCCCCCTTCTGAGAGCACATAGGTAGGTAGGTAGGTAGAAAGGTGAAGAACAGCCAGGCTCGGACTGGACACCAACGCGGTATGGGTGGACGCTAGACAGATGATGACGACACGCACGAGCGACACACAGACACAAACAAGCTCACAAGACACACAGCCAGCTGGCTGCCACACACCCTGAGTCGGCGTACACATAACTCAGGGCCACATCCTCCCTGTCGCCCCCCCCAGCACTCCACGGTGCCAAGGGCACAAACAAGGGCACAACTCAAACAACAGACGACAGGAAGCACATGAAGCCGTCGATTTCTTTCTTCCTCGCACAACACTTCTTTCTTCCTTTTAGCATGCCATGCCAGACTCGGACGCCGCTAGGCCTACGAAAGACGATCTCATCGCCGCCTTCCGGGTCGGCTCGCAGGGCGGGCCAGCTCGCCGCAAGTTCGTCGCAGGGCGAGCCATAGCGGCGGCCGACGGCAATGAGAGAGACGTCGATGACCCGCCGCTGGAACTAGCGCCACTGTTGGCCGGTCGGGCTTGCGCTCACCTCTTTTGCGCGCGGCTGCGCCGAGACGGATATGCTCAGCTCGCCCTTCCGCCCGACATGGCGGCGCTGCTGCGGCAGACAGAGGCAGCGGCCGCCGCGTGGTTTGCCGCGCCCGAAGCACGCAAGCTGGAGGAGGCGGGCGCGTATGGGCCTGCGAGCGGGACGCTCGCCGGCTTCGCGCGCGGCCGCAACCGCGAGCAGCTGGAGCTGCGCCTCGTGAAGGGAGGACGAGGACGAGGAGTGTACCCAGCGCTCCGTGGCGGCGACGCGGCGGAGCCTGCGCTGACGCCGCTGGCGGAGCGGAGCATGGCCACCCTCGACCGGGTCGCCCGCGTGCTGCTCGCGCACGTGGCCTCCGACCTCGGAGCCAGCCCTGGCTTCTTCGCCTCGCTCCTCGACCCGCAGCTGCCGGCGGAGGAGGGGGCGGCGGCGGCGGCGGAGGAGGAGGAGGCCGAGGCGGCGATAGAAGCGGAGGAGGAGGCGGCGGCGGCGGCGACATCGAAGGAGGCGCTTGAGGCGCATGCGGGCTGCCCGCCGCTGCGGCACGCGGGCTTTGCGCCCTTCCAGAACAAGAGAGCTGCCGACGCTGAACCGGACGATGTGAGTAGGCATTCGGGCTTGCGGGCTTGCCGGTACAAGAGCGACGCGCCCGGCTTCGTCACTCTGGCCAGCGGGCGGCGGGTCGCCTGCGAGGAGCACAACGACGTCGGCCTGCTGACCCTCGACCCTCGCGCTTCTGTGCCCGGGCTGCAGGCGTTCCGCCAGAGTAGCCGCCGTTGGGTGGATCTGGAGGGGGTGCAGGGGGAGGCGGCGGAGGAGACGGAGGGCCTGCTCACTGTGATGGTGGGGGACACGCTGGCGGCGGTGAGCGGCGGCGCGTACACCTAGATGCGGGACTCAGACCCTGATTCGAATAGGACCCGGGACGACGAACTCGGCTGTTTCGGCCATATTGCAGCCGTATTCACGGTATTCGTACCTTTGGGTTGACGCGAGGCGCCGAACACACATGCCGTGCACATTCAGTCCCCATGCACACACTAGGCGAGTACACTTCGTGCCGCCATCGCGTGCTGGCGCCGGAGGAGGGCGAGGAGCGCGTCGGTTTGCCGTTTCTCTTCCGCTGCCGCGGCGAGGCGATCATCGACACGCGGGAGGAGAGGCGGCGAGCGGCGGCCGAGGGGCGGGAGACGGCACTTGCCGAGCTGCAGGGTAGCAGCGTGGAGGACCTGCCGACTGCCGATTGCCCAGCGGCCCTCGTCAACTACATGGCGTGGCGACGCAGGTATCGAAGCTAAGAGGGGGGGGGGGGGGGGCGACTATGTGTGAACAATATTGCGCGCGCGTCGCTTCTTTCTGTCAAAATGGATCGTAAAATAAGATCGCCCGTCGAATTGGCATGTTTTTGAGCCGCGCCTCTCTTTCGCGCCGTCCGTCAAAAGCTCGCGCAGACCGGCTTCCTCGTTCCTGAGCCAGCCATCATGCAACCAAGCTCGTTCATCGTAGCAGCGACGTTTCTCCTCTCGAGTGGCGCTGCGTCGCCTCTACCACTTCCGGCAGCGATTTCATCTCGGCCAACATCCCACAACATCGATCCTGACGTCAATGCGCCTACAGGCCAGGGAGAGAGCGGAGGCAGCAGGCGAAAGCTGGAGGTGGACGTTGAGCGGGTCGGAGAATACCTCCGGGTGATCGAGCCGGGCATTCTTGCGACGGTCGCCCTGGGCGCAAGCATCTTTTTTCTCATCATTTGCTGCACGACGTTCGTGATATGTTGCCTGAGCGTGCCCCTAGTGGCCTGGGTCGGCTATTGGCCAGCCACCAACGGATCTCCCTGCTCGAACAAGACGTGTGGCTGCTCGGTCATGTGATGCCGCCTAGACCACCACGCTCCTCCTGCTCTCAGAGATACAGATCTCCATCGCGCATCTGGGGGGGGGGGGGGGGGGCGATTTTGGTGGGCTGAGAGGGGGCCGCGGGCGATAGCCAGCACGATGAATTTGCCCCGCGACTTTCGTCGCCTCAAGAGGTGTGCAACGGGGGTTCCTCTGTCTTTTAACAAACCATTCACACGGGGGTTCCTCTCGCGGCGACGGCGAGGACGTCCTTTTAGGGTGGAACCACACACAAGGGCGAGGGGCCGAGGGCGAGGGTGTTAACAAAAATGGCCCCGAATGGTTGCCCAGGTTACTCAGGACACGATCCCGGCGTAAACACAACTAACTGACGGATCCGCTCCTGACGGCCGCACGCGCCGCGCTGCGGCGCGCGTGCCACTGTCTTTGTTTGAAGTTTAAAAGTCGAATCAGAGCGCGCGGTGTCGGCGTCGTACTGAGTTATCTCTCCTGCGCCCGTCCGACCGCTCCGGGACGCACGCCGGCGAAGCACCATCCATCAAGCTGCTGTACGGCCCCGGCATCGCCTCCCCTGGCTTAGCTAGACTGAGAGATATTGTGCACAAGGTTTTGGCCTCTACAATATATACACTCTGACACTTCACCTCCCACACAGTGCACAGAGAGCTAGTCCCCGTCCGCCACGGCCATCCTCGGCCTCCGCCGGGCCCCCGGCCGCGGCGCGGTGCGGCGGCGTCACAAATCCGAGAAAGAACTACTACAGCGATCGCCACGCTGGCCTCTCCGCAAGGCCTCCCGACCGCGTCGAAGGTCGAACTCACGGCGCGGGCTCTCTCGGCTCCGGGACCGGCCCCAGCTTCGGCTGAGGGCTAACAAGCTGCCGAGCCCAAATCACTGTGACAGTCGCTCCCAAATCCGAACGCAGAGCACCGGGACGCGGTCGGGCGATCTGAGGTCCAACTAGGCGTATGGATTGCCCATCCAGCTAGGCGTGTGTATTGTGCCCATCCAGGGCGATCACCTGGACCATCAACAGGCTGCGGCGCCGTAGTCACGAGGTGTTGTTCACACCTGGGCAAGCATTCGTGCAAGTTCCGTGCAAGCTCCGGAGCTGGCCTTGCCATACCGTCCGCCTTGCGAGCGTGCTCACGCACTATCCTGGGCTCGTGCTTGCACGCGGTCGCAGCGTCATCAAGGCTCCACGCCACGACAGGACCGGCCATGCCGGGTGGCGTCCTCGCAACATCTGGAGAGATGGGCAAGGCCTCTGAGGAGGCGTGCGGCGTGCTGACGGTGAGCAACAAGATCGCTCCCCCGCGGCGCCAAAGCGGCGTGCGCGCGGCGGCAAGGCCAGCCGCGCGCGCCGGCTCGAGAACTTCCGGCAGCACAAGGCTGCGGCACCTGTGGCTGCTCCTGCGATCAAGTGGGAGCAGCTCGCCCACGGCCTCTTGCGTCAGCAACGCGCGACTCTGCGCGACGGCGCGCGAGCGGCCTGGGTGCGCATGCGTGCGCGCCGCCCGCGCGAAGCTCGGTGGCGGTGCGGAGCGCGTGGATGGAGGTGTAGGTCTCTGCTCGCGCGTCACCTCGAGTCCCTTCCCACTTGATCCAACCCTTGGCCCTCTTACTCTTGGTGTGTGTGCTGTGGGTACCTACTCGAGTACCACCTCAAGCATTCGTGTGCAGCACAGCGCATCGCCGCCACGCGAGTGTACGACTCGGAGGAAGGCCTCGTGCTAATGACAGTGCCAACCCTTGCTCTGAAATCAGCGCTGGTGGGGTTCGTGCTGTACACTGCGTACGCTGGCACGATGCGGACGCGTGAGTCTGCGCTGAGTTACCGCCTGTCCCGCTTCTATGAGGCGCACGGCATCGACAAGCGGCAGCCGGACACGCGCAAACTGCTGCACCGACACGGCTCCGTTGAAGGAGTCGAGCGGGAGTTGCGCAAGAAGTACGGCGATTGGCTGCCTCCCGAAGACCTCTCGGTCCTCCCTCTGGCAGACGACACGGTCGGCACGGCCGTCTACCTCTTGTCTGGCGCGCTCGCCGATCGCGCGCCGCCTTGGCTGTCCCAGCTGAGTGATGCGGATTGGAAGCGGCTGCCCGGTGCGGGGCTGGTGCAGCGGTGGGAGGCTGCGCCGACAGCGGCGCGCCTCGGCTACTCCGCAGTAGGCTGCAGTGCACTCCGACTGGCACTGCCCGAGTCGATGCGGTTGCCCGCGCTCCTCTCCTTCGGTGCCCTTGCATGGTCGGTTCGGCCGACGCCGGAGGAGCTGTCTCCCGCCTCGCTGTGGCGCGAGCTGGTCGCCACGTGGGAGGGCGGCGCCTCCGCGCCGGAGGAGCCGCGCGCCCTCCCCCGGCGCCTTGCAATTTGCAGCGGCGTCGCGCTTGTCGTGGCGGCGGCGGCAGGGCCTTCCCACTCGCTGCCGGTTCTCTTGGCGCTGCTGCTCGCCGCGCTGTGCGTGGGCGTGCCGGAGACGGCGGACACGTGGGAGAGCATGCCCGTCGTCGCGCCCTCGGCGCGGTCCGCGCTTCGCAGCGCTCTGAAGCAAAAGCCCGACCTCCTGCAGCAGCACGAGGTGGAGACGTTCCGAGACGCCTCCGAGAAGCTCTCGTACGCCTTCGGGGCCCAAGCGTGCCCGCGCCCTCGCTCTCAGGTGGGCGTGCTCGCGTACGTCACCATCGATGCCGAGCACACGGGCTGGCAGGCGCCGCTCCTCGCAATCGGCGCGCTCGGCCGCTGGGTGCCGCTGGGCACGATCTCGGCCACCGGCGCTGCGGACGGCCAGAGAAAGCTTGAGGTGTCTGGCCGGCTGCTCCCGGCCGCTGCCATTCCCGCCGCCCTCTTTCTGCTCACCGGCCTTGCCGCCGCTCTCAACAGCGATGGGCACCTCTCCCTGCCTGCGCGGTCCGCGCGCGCGGCGCTACTGCTCTTCTCGTTGGCCAGCATCGTCGCGGCCGCCGCCACGTGGATGTAGCAGGGATGTGGCTCGGCGCACGGCGATGTGCTGCTTCAACTGCTGGCGGATGGCGGCGAGGCGGCACGCGCGGTTCCCGCCAGGGCAGAGCTTCCCATCGCAACGCGGCCACGCCTGCGGCCCCTGGCGTCGCGAGTTGACAGTTTTGTCGGCCCTTGCTATTTCATTTTATCGTTTCACACAAGCGGCCGCCGGCGCGGTACACACACAGAGTTCGCGGGCTGAGGGCCCACCGGCACCGCAGCAGGC